GATAGGCTCGTGTTTTATCGCTTTTCCCCGCCGCGAGACGAGACTTCTCTCTTAAGAAGATAGAAATCATAGATAGTGGTATATCGCTATATTGATTATATCTTGTTAAAAATGTTTTTGCAATTATCTTATTTATGGATTTCTTTTTACCTTATTTTTAATTTTTACATTTCTTCTTATATTTTACGTTATTTTTTATTATCATTTTTATATTATAATTTGGTGTTATTTTATCTTTCACTGATTGTGAGTTTATATACATATATATATATATATATAATATATATATAATATATATGTGTGTGTGTGTGTGTGTATTTAATTGTAATGAAGATTTTTTTATCATTGATATATTAATATTAATAATAATAATAATAATATTAACAACTATAATGATTTTGATTTGTTGTAAATCGACGAGATTTCGAGAACTTTATATATTGTTTGTGAACTTTCACAATGATAAATATTACGATAAAAATTCTAGAACATTATGCCGATAAATCATGTCGCATGTGTATAAAATATAAGTCTGTTCGTTCGTATATAAGGGAGGGGATAGATCTATTGAATTCTATAAATCTATTTTATCTTAATCCTTTCATCTCCGCTATAAATCCAGCGAATATCCGTCTTGTTTGCCGTAGCAAATTTTAAACAATAAATTGGAATAAATACTAATCTATCCTTTTTTCTTTTTAGCTTATTTTTATATTACAAAATTGTCACGTTTGTTTCTAAAAATCATTTTTTTCTTATTTATATTATCTATATATTATATGTATTTATATAATTATATTTTTTATTGTTTTATTTTCCTTGAAAATGTAGGTTTGAGTTGATCTAACAAATTTATTAATACTTTTTACTGTTTTAGCAACTTTATGGATATTCTGGTAGATTTTCCGGAGGTGGTAAAGTACCTCTCTGGCGAAACAAAAACGAAACTCTATTGGGATTGTCGATTTTTACGTATACATTTTTGGGTAAAGATCTCTGAAATAGAGGACAGGCGGAAATTTAGCCGTAGCCCACATCCGCGCTTTTTACACGAGAGAGGCAAAAAGATGTTGGTCGCCATCGTAAATTGACGTTCGTAAAACCGTTCGACTTTAATGCGGCTTTCATGGAGTTTCGACATTCAATTCGCCTCCTCCGCAGGACATTACTATTTTTCTCTTAATTCTACTTCAATAGTTCGCGATATACTATTTTCAGTAATTCATGAAATTTATCAAGGATGTTAAAATAAAATTAACGTTTTATGAAAAAAAGAACTTCTAGAAAATCTCCATAAAAGTAAAATAAAGAAAGTAACATAAAGAACAAGCATATATTATAAAATTAAATTTTTATGTAATATTAATAGCAGTTGGGAGAGAGAGAGAAACATTACACATTAAAATTTATTCCTATCATTTGTACTCACCATTAAGTGAAGAATCAGAAGAAATAAATTCTTGCAAGATGATTATGCTCATCTCACAGAAACTGACATTTTTGTGTTCTAACAACTACGATCATTTAGCAATAAGAATCAGGATGATGTAACAAAACGCAATATAAACATTATGAACAATAAAGAAATTAAAATTAAGAACATTAGGATCATGATTGAAGCATATAAAAACGAATTAATTAACGGCATAAACTAAGAATTTAACGTATATACTATATTTAAATCTAATTATGGCGATTTTATTATTATATTGATCCTTTTGTAAAAAATTCTATTGAGGATGATTGAATATGAAGTGGCCAAAACGTTATACAATATTATTATATTTAGTATTCGAATAAAGAATAAATTAAGCAAAAACATTCAGTAGTGTAGGCTTAAATGGTTCTTGTTTCGATTCTTATTATCAAATTTTTATATAGTTTATGTATATTATTCAGCGTATCTAAAAAATATATTTAAGTATTTGTTATCTTTGAGAGTATTTGTTACCTCTGTTTTATCAATTCTTGATTAAATTTCAAAACTTGTTCAATGCAACGAATATAATATTTTTAATTAAAAAATATTCTTGTCTTCTTAAATCGCATAAATTTATAAATCTTGTAGTAGACGAAAAATATATTATATATAACATATATAACGATACTCTTGGATCGCAAATTAATCGGTTCACTAACCTCTGCCGTCCGAAATATGCGGTCGGTTCCGCGTTCTACATATATCGCGATATGTAATTATTCTGAAGTCTACCCTCGAGATCGCATGCGTTACACGCGGTACGATCTTGTCGGAATTAGGCCGCCCACGTTCGCTCGTCGTCGACACGTCGAAAAAGCGTTATAAAAGCTTTCAGTGGCCAGATGGGCGCAAGCTCTCTCTCTCGTGTCTCCCCTCTTTCCTCGTTCTTTTTCTCCTTTTCATTCTCATTTTTTTGTCGATATATCTTCGTATTTCTGTGAGAAATGTGATTTTATAATATGGTTAAAGTAATATCCTAATGTGATATAAAATACTTTTATAATAACAAAATACATAGATAGATATTTTTATGTAAATTTAAGAGAGAAATACAAGAAAAAGAGGCAATTTTACATCGCGTTTCGGAGTTAAAAATGTGAAACACATATGTTCTTTTGAGAGGATTTTTTCTAAATGTTTCTCTCTCTCCTCTCTCTCTCTCTCTCTCTCTCTCTCTGTCTTTAGGGAAAGATTAATTACTATTTACTCAATAACTTAAGAGGGAAAGGATACTGAGATCGAGATCGAATAATGCAGGGGTTCTAAGAATTAAATACCGCCTGCTTCCTAGAAACGAGGCAAGACACGTTGTATAATATAGTACATACATATATAATATATGTATATAGATATACATGTATATGTTGTCTTTTCATAAATATAACGTAGACGATTTCATTGATATATGTCGGTCAAAATAATTTCCAAGAAATATTTAAAAATAGAACTGCTATTTCATAAATATTGTTTGGGATAATTATTCCTTTTGATCTCATTAAAAAAATTAAATTAAATAATTTTTTTTATCGTAACAAGGATACACAATCAATGTGTCTCTCTTCCATTTTAATCTTCAAATGTGTTGGATAAGAATAAGAGACACCCATTCTTTTATAAATTCTTTTCGACATATTAAAGTAAATCTTAAAACTCTTTTAAAAAAAATCAGATTTTTTTTCTTGAATGAATTCATATAGAAAAATATATAAAGTTATGTAAATTTAATGGTCGAACATATGTACGTTATAATATCTTTATGTTATTTAAATTTTTTCCTTTTGAAAAATCCTTTTGAGAAATCCTTGAATATATAATAAGATAAAAAATACTGTATAATAATCGTGAAATTAATATGTAGAGATTCAATTAATCAAAATGCATACATATTTATATACTTAACCGGGTAAAATATCTTTTGGCTCTCTTTCTCACTTTGATTCACGAATATAAATTTTTTAACTTGTGTATATTCTCGTTCTTCTGGGTTGAACACATTTTGTGCACTCTGTGTTTCGGGGAAAGATCTTGGGTAGAGAAAATCGGTCGAATACCGGAGTCCGAATGTGCCATACGTCAAAATCAAACGATTCCTATTTATAAGTTTAACGGCGCGGTAAGCCAGCGACGGCTTCGATCGGACACCTGTTCTCATTCAAACAAACGCGAAAAGGCGATTCGATTATTATTTCAAATTGCTACGCTGCCAGTAAAGCCAGAGATCGCTGCAAATTCGAGAGTAATTTGCTACCTTGTATCATCTTTCAGCCAAATATGTACAAATGTTAAAGAAACGCTAGAATTTTAAACACTCATTCAATCGAGAATTCACAACTAAAATTAAAATTTTTGACCAGAAATATCATTTACTAGAAAAATCATTTAATTGAACTTAAGTCATGAAGTTACGTTTATTTGATTTTTTTTTCTTTTTTTTCTATATTTGTAAAATATGGTTTTGCGTATTTTGCTTTAAAATTTCAGTATCAAATGACTTAAATAAAGAGCTAAAGCCTCTTAAATGTGTATGTAGAACTTATGTATAATGTTTACTTTTATAAATATGAGAAATGCACGTTTTTAACTTTAAGATATAATTGCCTATTAATTAAGATTTTATTCTTCAGTTTTGAAATCGAAATGCAACTGCTAGAATACTTGAACATTAAAAGCGAGAATAAAAAGAGAAAGCACACAAAAGTGTGTTTGCTTAAGCTCTCTTTCGTTTCGAGCTCATCCCACGTCTTCCATCTCCGGCGCATATAGGTCACCGAGTGCCGAGTGGACCCTTTGTCACGCGCGAGCATGTGGGCCCCGAAAGATCTCAAGCCTGAGCAAGTCGTTTCTTCTTTTTCATTCTCCTCTTAGGAGAAGGAACCGAGTGGAAGGCTGGAAGGAGGAGGAGTTGCAAGGGCATTAGGCCCCCAGAATACGAAACGATAAAATTCTTACGAAACACCCGCATGTGCAGAGAGCGAAAGGGAAAAGAGGTCCTCCTCTGCGATTGAGCAATTTCGCGACTAGCTGGAGAATTTTGTGTCTTCGACAAAAGGTTTAACCTTCGAGAACATATGTTTGCCATTAATCATAAGTATAATATTTTCTAAATTTTTGATACTTCTATTTATCCTTCAAAGAGATAAAATTCTTACCCAAGCGCTAATTCTTAATTAATTTAGAACATTCTAAATTAATTAGTTTACTTTATTATTGTATATTTTACAATTACTGATTTTAAATCAAAGCTTAAATTGATTCACAATATTCTATGCTTTACTTGTACAAATATACAAAACAAATGCAAGAAAATAACGAATCATCCGGAAGTCGAAACTTCTCTCCGAGAGGATTGTCAGTGAACACAGTGATGAGCGATGTCGCGGAATCTTAATGCGTTTGCGCTTCGGAGAAAATATGTATCTTAATGCTATCTTTAATGATTTATTCACGGAGATAAAACAGCGCCACGAGTAGCAGCGCGATTGAGAGGAATGTAGCGAATTGAGGTCGAAGCGAAGTGGAAGACGAGAGAAGCGCGATGTAAGTGTCGAGAGCTTGAAGATGCTGAAGAGCGACATGTATACATATGTAAGCATTAATTGAATCGTATTACGTAATTTAAGGAGAAATTTTGACAAACTACGTTCTTTTATAAAACAATTACAGATATCTTCTTTTTGTGATTGTAGAAAATTTTCTAAAATCCGATATACAGACATCGAGCAAGATACGCGTCCTTTAAAATGTTTTTTTTTTTTTTTTTGACGTAATAGCTTGATTTCTTGAGAAAATTGGACACGAAATATGAACGGAATGAAATTCCGTCGAGACAACATGTAATCAATACATACAGATCAAGACTCGAAGGCTGTATAAATTGGATTTAAATATATTCATGATTAATATATCTTTGTACGGAGTCACTGATCACGATTCATTACCGTTATCTGATAGGATAATGTTAATCGATGATTTATAAGACGTGAAAGAGCGTAAAAGTGGCAGAACGACGAGTTACTAAATATGAAAGTCGATAGCAATTGAAATAAATTTTTTGAATTGTACGCAACTGTATATACATATGTATGCATATTTTCATAATTACAACAATAATAAAGTAAGGATTAATGTGACTTTCTATTTATTTAGAATTCATATTTTTTTATTGCGTACAATTTTATGTGATATAATAAATATATAATTGTAATTACATATTATAATATGTGAGTATGTTAAGTTAGCACCCCAACTATAGTACTCAGGAGTTCTGATTAGAGTTCCCACTTCCTTTTGACGAGACGAAGAGTTCCCTATAGTTAATAACAAGAGTTTCGCTCAATAAACATTCTATTTACATTTTTTAAAAATGGGGTGCTAACTTTTTATCGAATTTCGAGGTGGAATAGTTCTGAGCGCTTCAATAGCTTCAATTTGCGATTGCCTAGAGTTCCTGATATGTAAAAAAAATTTTCGAATAATAAAAAAAAATATATTAGATTATAATTTAAAATGATTTTAACGATATTATTGGCTCATTGCCCTCTTTCTCTATATTATTTGTTTTAAAAAAACATATTGAGCCTTATCTCAATGTACATTAATAAAAAAAAAATTAAAAATTTTTGAAAAATTAATTTTTAGATACAATAGTTCTGATGATAATTCCTGCTTGCTTTTGACGATACGAAGAGTTCTCTATGATTTTTAATGACATATGCGCTTAATAATCATTTTTTAATAATTTTTTAAAAATGGGGTGCTAACTTTTTAACGAAATTCAAGGTCGCATATTTCTGCGTTTTTTTTTAATATTCGAAAATTTTTTTTACATATCAGGAACTCTAGGCAATCGCAAATTGAATCTATTAAGCCGCTCAGAACTATTCCACCTCGAAATTCGATAAGAGCACCCCATTTTTAAAAAATGTAAAAAAAAATGTTTATTAAACGGAACTCTTGTTATTAACTATAGGGAACTCTTCGTCTCGTCAAAAGGAAGTGGGAACTCTAATGAGAACTCCTGAGTACTATAGTTGGGATGCTAACTTAACATATCCATAATATGTTGATATTTAAAAAATTAATTAATTTAGAGATATACACTAAACTCTCTTTGTTTTAATAGCGATCTAAATTTATCGATAAAACGCTATGATTTTTCTACATACTTCCGGCGTTATATAATCCTTTCATTAGTAGTCTTGTAAAACGTTTGTAAAAATATCAAAGGTATAATAAACACTCAGTATATCTAGTACATGAAAAATGTACGAGAAAATTCGTCGTGGGTGGGTCGAGCAAGCAAGCGGGCGAGCAAGAACTAAAAGGTTGTCAATCCCTGTCAAAAGTAATTTTGATAGGCACGTCCACCAGAGATCGGCCAAACACGACTAGATAGATAATAATTACTCCATTTTTAATGACTAACCGAAAGAAAAATGGCACATAAAATGAATTTAATCGAGAAAAAAATAAAATGTAAAATCTCTTATCCAATATATAAGAGATATTTTTATATTTTAATTTTCTACGCATATTTTAAAAAGTATATGCGATATGTAATCCTCCAATTTGTGGAAGTATAAATAATGAATGTTCGTTTATTTATAGTTGTATTATTCATTATTATTCATATAATTTATAATTTTTATGTAAATCATGATGATTTACATGTATTTTATGTTATGAATATTATTTGTCACTTAATTTACACTAATAATATCTACGCGTTGAAAGAGAAAGGAAGGCAGACAGAAATAAAGCGCTCGTTAAGTTTTGTATTTTATTCTTATACCTTTTTGCTTGAATATGAAAAAATTAACATTTAAAGCGACAAATATGAACAAATATTTTAATTTATTTAGTTATTAATTCAAGATTGACATTATAAAACGTAAATTATTGATAGATGTTAATGGAATTAATGGAGTTTTTACGAAACTGCTCGACGAGATCGTCTTTCTGGTCATATCTCGTTATCGGCAATTCAATTGTATACAGGTGCCACCGACTCGGCCTGTAGGCGAGTGCATGTATCGATCATTGATAGATCATGAAGGTCGCGATCGCATCGATAAGAATCTGTTTCTGACGCAGCTACGATATCGTCGTCCTACGACTTTTTACCGGGAAAAAGATAAGGATAAACATTTATATTCGAATGTAATTTTAGTATTTATATTTGATATTTTTTAAATATATATAATAATTCAATATTTGCAAGTTATAATATATTTAAAAAGATATTTATCTACCATATAAGAAATTTCAATCGTATCGCCTAAAGTTTGCGCGCTTAAATACGATTGGATTTTCCGTTGTATTACATCGCGAATTTTAGGCAATATGATAATTTTAAGTACTTATAATTAAAAACTTATTAAACCCTTGATATTTTAGTATTAGGATTTTCGTCTTAAAATGATTTCAGGAATCATACCTGTAAGCATACCGGTTTTACCGAACACCCTGTATATATATTTATAATATTTTTAATGTGATAAGCAAGTATGTTACAATTATTGCGAATCTACTTATTGTGGACAATAATTCCCCGTTTTTGTGTCATCACATGATTATGAAATGATTCGTACATATGATGTGAATATTTTAATAAAAAGCGCGAAAGCGAGTATTGCAACTTTCTTGATAATCGTATTATTCATTTTCGTGATAATACGAGATCACGTAATTCTTCCTATATATTTTTTAACGCAACGTAATAATAAGCGTTTATCAGTCTTTCTCGGGAATTCCGGAAAGCGATATAGAGATTGATATCCTCATTTGCGGTTTTCGCAAGATAACTCACTACGAGAATTTCGCGAGGGTCTCTTAATTATAAGCCATGCTGGAAGACCCGAGAACTTTAGGTTCGCTCTCGGCTTTTATAAATAGACATGTGTTTTGTTCTAAGTGCAGTTATTGTTTCAATCTTCGATCTTCTCCACTTTATGTCCATCGTAATAAAGACAAATATAAGCCAAATTGCCTTTATTACTATTTAGTTTTGATTTTTATTCATCGAGCCAATAGGCCTGTTTTTTTTTTTTCAACTGAACTTCTTGCACGGTTCAACATTCCTCTTTTATTCTCCATGTTGAAGAAAAAAAGAGAAAGATAAGTAGGAAGAAGCTAAAAAGAACAAGTTTAATATATTTTTTATTTTAATCTCTTCCAATCTTTAATTTATTACGTTTTCTTCTTTACTGTTTCAATTTATCGAAATTAACTTCAAGATCCAGCTGCATCTTGGAAATATTTAATTATATTCAGAGAACGTTATCAGATTAATTAATTTTAATTAAGCTTATATAAATACATATAATGAGAGAGAGAAAAAGAGAGAGAGAGACTCAAGAAATATATAAATAGCATAGGCCACCAAACGTATATACGTTTCAACATTCTTAATTTTCAATCCTCTTCAAACTTTAATTTTCTTTAACTTCTTTTCGTCTTTAACTTCTTTCCTTTACTGAAGGATTAATAAATTAAAAGTTAAGGCTAAACTCTTCTTTTTCTCTCGAAACATTTAATTACGCTTAACGTACTTTCAGGCTTAATTAGCTTCACGCGACGACCTTACGATCGTGTTTCCAGGTTAGATAAATGGTGAGAGCCCAGCGCAAGTCATGTACAATCTAAACGTGAACGTGAATCCCAGCCCAACCGGGGCCGCGGGTCTTCTCGGTGTCACGGCGGCGGCGGCCGAGGTCACGCCAAGGACACCGGAAATCGTAAATTCGCTGATCGCCATGACCAATCCCTTCGAGGGCTACGGCAGCGGTAACGAAAAGGGCATACGGGATCGTACGGACTCAACCAGCAGTGGTGAACCGAGCCCGCCAAGCATCCAGCACACCTGTAGTCAGCTTATCAAGGAAGGTAAATGAAGATCACACTTCAGTTTAACGTTCATTTGTACATATAAAGCATGAACTGCGTTATTCGAAATAGTATAATATTGTATACATAACTATATATAATCAACAAAAATGAAAGAGAGCGTGACAGCCAAAATGTCTCTGTTTTCGAAATATTGTGATTGGCTAGATAAAAAGGAATGGAGACTAATCATCTCCGCGTTCTATCTCTCTCATTTTTGTCGATCAACTTTAAACGCGGATGGCATAGTCCAGATTGCAAACGAATATTAATTGTTTTCTTATAAAACATGCAAACTGCGCAAGAAGTCTAAGTTGAAATCTAAGCGATATTTGCATTTCATCTCACCTACTTTAGCCATATTTAACAAATGTCAATGACAACACAGTGGTTCGTTCTGCTCGGTAATATAGTATAACGTGCTTCTCTTTCTTTCCTCCTTTTATTTCTTTATCTTTTTACCTTCACTCTATGTACAGCATTAAATCACAAATCCTGTTCCTTTCAAATTATATGAATTACGCAACACACGCACACACGCAATCGCAAAAGAGGATTATTATCGTAATTGCCTTTGCGGTTTTGTGTTCGCACCGGTTACCCCGACCCATTATATCAACCAACAAATTAATTAATTAAAAACTTTTTTTAATCACTCTCGATATGCGGAATGTAGAATACGTGAGTGTAGAGTGATGTGCTTTGATAATGGATTGTATGTCACGACTGCTGACACAAATAATCCTTAATTATCGCGATTTAATCCCCCGAAGGTCACGAGAATGTCCTTGTATCGCGTGGAAATGTTATAGCGATCACTGTCATTTTCTATAGCATTAATACATTGTGCGTTGCAACATTTTCGAGTCTACTTTCCGACGGAAGTCTATAATTTATCGTGATATTAAACAATTACATTCGCGCAATTCTTTTTATTTTTTGTAACAAATATTGTTCTCGAATTATTATTGTAATGTATAATTATATTTACATATTGTACAGTTATAATTTATACATTTATAGTTCTAATAATGCTATTAATAGAGATACATTTGAACTATTGACTAATTTTTATTATTTAAATAAATACAAAATATAAATATGTACAAATTATCCCATCAAAATCAATTTTACTATTATTTATGCCGTTACTACATAATTTTTGTATGAACATATTTTTTATTCGACTTTACTTTGCATTAAATAGATACCTTATAATACATATACATAGGCAACCGCTGTAATCGTAAATAAAATTAATAAAGATATTACGTGTATATCATATATTATACAATATATATATTATATATATATAATATATTAAAAAAGAAATGAAGAGAGAAGTTGATTAATTCAATTAATATTTTATATTGCAATTTTTATTTTATATAAAAGTCGCGAGAAAAAACTAAAAATGTTATTAACTTGATTAATATTTATTAAAAAAATTAGCAACCAATTATATTTTGATTGCTTTGATTTCTAGTTGTTAATACTTTTGATGATAATAATGGAAAATCTTGCTCCCTTTAAAAATTAAAATTAAAGTCATTATAACTTAAACTAAAAATCGGGGTTTATTATATATTTTAGTGAGAACAAGGAAAGAGTACATCACAGCGTCTAATTACCATCTAACTACTTTTCTGGGTAATCCTAATGGATTTGCATTCCCCGTATATTGCAAGTGATGACTGTTATGGCCTCGGCGATGTACCTGAGAGCAAAATTAATCAATGGGAATTAATTAAACTCTCCTTTGGACAGGGCTGAAACTAACGCTACAGACGAAGAGGCGGGCGAACAGTAGTGGCGACGATGGTAAGAAGAAAACAAGAAAGGAAGACAGCGGTGCCGACGACGAGGAAGAGGATGAGGCGAGCAACAACAACATTAAGAGTGGTGTAAGTAAATCCTTGCTTTCTTTTTTATTATTTTCCTCAGAATCAACTTCACGCAGACTTTTTCGAGAGTTTCTTAATAAGAATTGTCACTTTTTATATTCATTAACTCTTTATGTGTTTTCATTAATTCTTCAATTTAATTATATAAATGATATTAATTATCTTGGAAGTGAGAAATTATCATAATTTTTGTGTTGGGAAAAGAAATATTAATATTAAATTTGCAAAGTTTATAACTTTATTAGAAATATCTAATAAAACGGAAATAATTTAGACTACATAAGTCACATAAAATTAAAATGTAAGATTTTGTCAAAAATAATTTCTTATTTGTTAGGTTTTTTATATAATTAATGATGCATAAACAATAAATAAAATTTTATGATTGTCTCTCTGTCGAACTCTTTATTTTCCTTTTCTTTATTAATTCTGGTATAAATATACTAATTAATATAATAAGGCTCTATAAGTATAAAACAATATAAATAAAAAGGGGCAAAGAGCCGACAATATAACAAAATAAAAAACTTTAATTCAAATACGTAATAACAATATATGTAGTTATATAGACGTTTCGACTCCGATCGAGTCATTCTCAATGTTACAAATAAATTCGTTATAATCTATGAGGTGAATATTACAAAAATCTAGTATAAAATATATACAATATCCAATATATAATATCTGCAGAAAATAAAAATATAAAATAAGGAATAGATGTTACGTTATAATTTGTAATACAAAATTAATAGTCATTATACCTTTTGTACAAAATTAGAAGAAATTGTATATAAAATTTTAACAATTTGTTTAATTTTTATAAAAATTTTTTTATATTTTTTTCTTGTAAAACTTTCTAGTAGTTTTTATTTACTAAAAAAGTGACAATTTTGCTTATTAAAAATGAAAATTAAAAAATTATAGATTACATATCTTACATGTATTAAAATATGTATATTGTTCAGTTTCGATATTGTTCATTTTCTTTTAAAATCTAGATGTAAATATTTGCGTTTTATTTTAATTTTTATTATTTATATAAATCGCGAAATAAATTAATTACAAAAACTATTATATATTATTATACATAATATTAATTATAAGAAAATGCAAGAAAATGTAGTTGAAACGAGCAATGTACCATAAATGCTTTGAAACACGCACGAATACATTGCAACTTAATTCCATTCTGATAATTCTGGCAATAGTTTAGAGACGTTTCTCGATCCCAGACCAGACGATGAATCCTTTCGATCCTTTTTGTGTCCTTGACTGCTGTTGCGACTATTCGCGTGCGCGAAATAAATTAATTCCGACAGACGCTGTGTCGAGCCATTTTGGTAGTTTAGGCATTCGCGAATTTGCATATCGTTTGTTATGGCATGAAGTACAAGCCGCTAAAATTAGCGAAATTTTGAAAGCGCGAAGAAATAATGCGTTTATTATATTTTAATCGGTATAGATGGCACGCTTTTGTAATTGAAATATACAATAAAAAACATATATATTTTTTATTCTTCTAATATTTTCATTTCGTCATATTTTTTTATCAGGTCCAACGTTATTTCAATATTAATATTGTTACTCTAACATAGTGAATATCGCATATAGATTTCATGATGAAATTTTACGAATAGGTTTTATTTTTTGAATAACACAGGAATATATAATATAGAAATTTATTTATTTGTGAAAAACTCCATTGTAGATTTTACAAATCGAATTTTTTAAATTAAATCTTTATTATAGTTATAATTAAAAGAGAAATGTTAAATAAGTTTAAATATAAATAAGTTTAAATTAATGAATAAAATATAAGATCGCATGATGTGTGTGTTTTGCAAATGCATTGTAATTTGTACTACGTTATAACTCGCGTATTTGGTTATTCAAAAACCATGCCAAGCTTCATTCGGATTCGTCGTTAATTAACGCCTCCTATATCTATATCTTGTTAATTTTTGCTAATGCGTGCGAAAGTACAACGAGTTACAAGCAATGAATATCTTCTCTCGAAATATCTATCTGTCATTATTATTCAACAGACAAAATCGATTTGTATGCGCGTAAAGTATTTATGTAAATTATTATTATTCAATGGACAATCGATTTGTACGTAAAGTATTTATGTAAATTGAATAATCGATTTTTGTCAATCAAAATTACAAAAACTTCGGAACAGAGACGTTAGCACAATGATTCACATCTAGATTTTCTAACAACGAGATTCGGAATATTTATGAATTTTCTCTTTCTTAAGCCTTTTTTAAGAATTCTTTTTCACATCTCAAAAAATCAGAATATTAAAAGTTTGAATCTGAGAGAGAGAGAGAGAAATGTATAAATCAATAAAATTAAAAATCTAAAATCTTAACGATAAAACTGAAGATTCAAGAAATCCTTGCTTTTCTAAAAGAAAAAATAGAAAACGCTAAAAACGAGAATGTTCAAAGTTCTTGTCTTTTGTATAAATTAGAGAAATTCAGAACTATTTCCTGTACAAAATTTCTTCATTTCAATAACTCAAAACCTCAAGACTTTGTCTCAGCATCTTCATGGCCAGCTTAAAATCGGTCTTTCAAAAGTTTAATTCAAATCCGACGAATCGAAATAATTGCAATTTCCTAAAAAAAAAAGTTGAAAATACCCCAGAAATTCCTTCATGTTCCTAAAAGGAAGTGAAAAATACCTATCACAATAAAAAAAATGCGAAAATTGTCGTTTGCAGCTGACGCCGGAGGACGAGGAACGACGCCGGCGACGACGCGAACGCAATAAGATCGCAGCAACCAAGTGCCGACTAAAGAAGCGCGAAAAAACGGTGATCCTTGTGCAGGAATCTGAAATTCTCGAGACTCAAAACCTTGACCTGAAGTCACAGATCCAAGAGTTGGAGACTCAGAGGCGCAGGCTGGTCGACATGCTGAGTCTCCACAGTCCGACCTGTTTGAAGCAGGGCGTGGACGCAACGTCGTATCAGCAGTTTGCCGAGCCCCTTCATTTGCCTAGTTATCAGGAAAATTTTGTGCCACAGCAACCCCCGCCAGCCCTGAATCAGCCACAGAACTGCATCACCGATTACCCGGTGAAAGTCGAGGAATACGAGACCGATTTCTACCGACAGGGTAGCCCGTTTGTGCCGACAACATCGGACGCCGGTTGCACGGTTTAGCAAAACGGCGAAAATCGTTTTCGCTGTCTCGAGGGAGGGAGGCTCGTCGAGAAGCTTGGAACGCGTGTATAATATAATTGAAGGTTCTCAGAGTGTTAGAGACGGTTTCACCAACGTTAATTTGATTTTGCCAAGATACAGAACTTAAAAAAAGTATCTAAAGAACGTACTTTTATAAAAATTGTTTTTTTGTTCTACAGACACATGATAAAATTAACAAAGATTGAAAATTATGATAAATATTAATTGACGCTAATGAAACAATAATTCTTTTCAAATTTAATTGTAATGATTTTTCATTTTTACACACAATTCAGTTTTTTATCATCTACATGTTCGTAAATTAGATCCTTGTGTAAAATTTCAATGAGTTGAAAATTGTGAGGAAAATGTTCAGAAGAGAAATTTTGATATTTAATATATATTCTATATATTAATTAGTTTTATTTCACATTTTATAAATTTTAGTTATTATAATATGTAAAGTATTATACGAAAGTTGTGGTTTGGAATTATATGTTTTAAACAATATACTTTGCAGTGCAAAGTTTGCACGATGAAATAGTTGGCGTCAGAATGTCGATAACAATTATATGCATTCCATGTATAAGGAGAACAGAAAGTGATTTCGTTGATTATCTGTAATTTTTATTTTGTTAATTTTTGTAATTTAATTATTAACTCGTTAGTTTTCTAAATGTGCCGTCCAAGCTTCTCACCGTTCGTCTCTCCCAATTGTAAGTCCGTAGCTTGTAAGTCGATTATTATATCGTAAACGCGAACAATGTTTTTATCTTTCGTCTTCCTCTTCATCCATCAATCTTTCCCTTTTTCGTTTCACTTTTTCCTCTTTCCTTTTTTTCTAACGAGCTCTTGTTATACTCGAAAAACGTTCGTCGTAGAGAACGCTTGAAGACATTCCTTCGTAATAACCGTACTGTGACATTCTCTTATAAGGCCTTTAATTGTATAATCGATAATGTAAGATAAAGATGGACTATCCAGTGATGCTCATTCTTTTACAAGAATTATTATTATTATTATTATTATTGTATATAGAATAAAATTATTAAATTATGGTATATTAATTGTGATTAAGAATATTATTAATTTTTATTAATTTTACATTATGAATTTCTAAAAAAACTGTTTTTACTTTTAGTTTATTAAAAAGAAGTTTTTTTCTATTAGTAATAAGACTTTGAAAGTTTGCTTCTACATTTTTTCAGCGAGTTCAGCCGACGAATAAATTAGCCACTTTTTGTTTCTTTTTTTATGTTTGTCGCGCCGATGAAAAACTAGTGAAACGAGTGAGCATCGCTAAAACAGTAATCCGTCATTAATAATAAGCGAAAATCGAGACCGTAAATATTAACGAATATTAATGACACAGCACACACAGCACACACAACACACACACACACACACACACACACACACACACACACACACACACACACACACACACACACACACACACACACACACACACACAATTGGAGAGAATTATTTTCAAATCGCTTTAAAGTACATTTTTCAAAAGTATAGGACGACTAAAAAATTTTCGATTATGTAAGATTTAATATTCGGATTTTAAGGTTTCAGAAAATTTTTATATTAATTTATTGTAATAACAATGCTGGTAACTTCTGCTTAACAAAGGATTTAAAACGTTTTGGAAATAAGTAATTCTCTAATTTTGCGCGTGTCTCGGATTTGCAACAGTGAGAAAAAGAGTACACGCGAGTACCCCAGTGTAAGTAAGTCTTCTTTATCATTGATATTGATTATCAAGGAGTCGATAACGTGCGTTCAGAGGATACTTATAATTATATGATTAATGAGAATGATATTTAATATTATATATATATATACGTACACATATATTTTATACAAATGCATATTATATATATTACCTCTATTATAGTATATATATAATATGCGTATATACATATAGTATATGTATAATTTTACAACGCGCAAACAATTGCATAAATAAGTGCACGCCATTAACAATCAATGAACACTTAACTACATGACGACTATTAAATATCAGATTCGTTGGAGAATCGAGAATTACGTGCCTAATGACATACCTCAATTTAGTTTCGTTTTATTTCCCCTCAGTGCGTTTGCAAATTGAGACTACTTCATATACAATTGCGATTAAAGATCTTGGATGCAGTTGCCAATATTCATATGAAAACAGATCAAAAAGGTATGAAAACGCCAAAGAAAATTGCGAGAAAGCACAACATAATGTGTATCCTGTAATTCTATAATAATTGTTACAAGTTTGCTGAGCAAATTTTGTATGTTTAAATTCTATTTTTTAGGATTACTTGATATCTTCAAAATTGGAAAAAAAACAAATTTTATTTTATTTTAAATATATTTTTTTATAATTTCTTACAATAAAATTTTTTTCCCTACTGTAAGTTTTTAGGTTTGTCACGTCTTGAAATAATTTTCGATTATTTGAAAGATTCCATATAATTTGATCTTTATTTTACTTTTTAATTTGACAAACACACTTTGGGCTACGCTTATAAGATGATTTCTCACGTAATCTATGAAAGTTAGCCTGATCGTTAGCAGGCATGCTGTAATTATATTAACGAAGAAAAACGTTTATACATATCCGTGGACTAAACGACTTTCCCTCTTCGGAATGTTGCTACAGATTGATAAATAATTTTTGACGATAATACACAAAACCCGAGAAACTTTTCCGGTGCTTCGCGAACAAAGCAAAGCGGGACAAAGTCTTCCGCGTTTTTCCCTCTCTTTCTCTTCGATAGTATACGGAATTTACGAAATCATGTAAAATCCAAATATGACTTGTAAATCGCAAAAAAAAGAGAGTATGGCAGTTATGCCAGTATCATACAACAGCGATACGTGAATGGTGCTAGAAATATTAGCTTCTTTTTATAGAATTTTTATCAAGTTGCCAGAACAGAGTATTTAATAGTTTAATGTGCCCCTAGGGGAGCAATGTGAATTTCTATCTATCTATTTAATATAGTTTATATGTATTAAATGTGAGAGATATTTCTTTTTGAAATTGGAAAGTAATATTGTTAAGTTAATGTTTTACAGCTCCAAAATGTTAAGAACTTTGTTAAAAGCGCTTCGGTAAGTTTATATTTGCACAATCTTTGTGATTTTAAATAGCCCGTTCTGTTATTCGAATACTGCCAATACTAAGATCCTGGATATCATGGCTTCTATAGTATCTAAGGACTTCTTTATTTTTTTTTATCAGTAGAGACCGAATAATTCTTTTTTTTTTTTATTTTTTAGAAAAAGCGTTGCTTTTTGGAGCAGTGTTAAGTTGCGAAATAAAGTAAAGAAAAGCTGCATGCCAGATTTATACAAGATTATTATATCTTTTACGTATATTACTCAGTACCTGGCTATGGTTTTCCATGCAATATGGTCGTTTTCTCGCAAATTTTTTTCTGATTAATACTGATTAATATTTTGTGCGAATAATAAGACAGACAAACGGCCGACAAAATTTAATCGTTATAACCTAAGGAAAAATTTTATTCTTTAAATAAAAGTATCTTTAATACTAAAAGAATGACTTAAACTTTCATAAGATTTCCCTCTTATACTAGGATTTTATTATGAAATTTAATTTTGAATATAAAAAATTTCTTTATAAAAGAATCTACTATAATATACAAAAGTCATTAAAATAACTAATTATATATTTTTGTATTTTAATACAAGATTTTTGTGTTTTTTAAAATTAGTACATCTATGTTCAAGATATTGTAATTACATTTCTTAGATTTTATTATAAATCTCTTCTTTATTTTTTTAGGATAATAAGTAAAAAAGAAAATAGATAATTTTTAATTATTTTATTACGAAATTCATTAATATTATGCATACATCTCTTACCTACTTCATTCACAAGAGCAATTCAAGACAGCAAATACATTGTTTTATTATAAATAAGATTAAGGGACAAGTGTTAACGCAAATAATCATACAGAACCTTATCAATAATTATCAATAATTTCCTTAATAATATTAATGAGAATCAGGATTAATATTATGAACCCCTAAAAATAGAAATAAACATATTTAAATTTCTTGAATAATTAAAATAAAGTAGCAATTCTACAAATACTTACACAATGATATTGTTGATTGGGATATGGATTAGCTTAACAAAGAATCCTATGAAGCCCATTATACAGAAACCAATCGCAGTAGCAATAGCAATCTTCTGAAATTCTGTAATAAAAAAAAAAAAAATGAATGACCAACCATTATATAGTTCTGGTATAGTGTAATAAAAAATAGATTACCTTTGCGATCTGGTTTAGTACATCTTTTGACAAGCCGGATGCTATCCTTGGCGAATTGACGGCCAGGTTCTGTAAGCTTCTTGATTTGATCCATGGTGACTGGATAACTGCAAACGAAATAGGAATCACTGAAGAACAATTTTGGAATCAGCTGATCAACCAAACAACACGCATATCTATAGAGTATGTTTCAATCTTTCAGACATTATTCAAGCTTCCATATTGAACAGCAATCATTCAGATATCATCAATCATATTTTGTAATAATATTATAATAATAGATTGTTTCTTATAATTATACTGTGTTATACATTCAGTCAATCATATATTCAAAACAAAATAGACAACAATTAGATTTTACAAATAAAAAAAGAAGGAAAATGAAAAGTTCAGTTATAAAAAAACACACAAGTCTACATTTATATTAGAATATTGTACATAAAAATTATAAAGTATGTTTTATTTAATATATAAGTAAAAGATATCTTTGTACATTGAGATAGTAAATGAGAACGTCCATTTTTTTTAATATATAAAAAAAGTTCTGATTGCTGTTTTATATAACACTCAAATTTGTATCATATTTTGGTTCACAAAAAGTATTTCATTCATATCGATGAGAGAGAAAAAAACATTTGGACATTGACGCAATAAATTAAATCTGGGTTATGTCAGGAGGTCGAAACTTTTTCACGGAGAGCAGCACAGGAGTAAGTATTTCTCTCGCGAGAGAAAAATAAAATTCATACGTAAAAATAACCGAATGAGATAAAACACAAAAGTACTTACATTACGTGTTATACGAGTAAACCTCACGAAACGTTAACTCCTGACGACTGCTCCGATGTTTCTGAACAGCGATGCGCAAATGTACTCAAAACGCTACGTGGATGGTGCGCTGTCAAAACGTCACTTCCTCACGATTGATGCTGGCACCAAGGCGCTGCGGCGACACGATACGGAGTAATTTAAACAACGCCGTAATGGAATCTCAGTCGATAATGTTTGCGTAGGGACTCAAAGGGTATTTAAAGGCAGATATTGGAGCCTCCTGTATTACCGACAGGCACTAGCGCGTTTTTTTTATTTATCACCTGTTCAAAAACAATAATAAATAAAGTAAAGGACTCTCAGTTTAAAACAAATAGTGAAGTAGAAAGACAAATTAAGATCCTGTTCAATATCTTTATAATAGTTTTACTACTGAATTATTAGACTACTGAAACGCGCGCTGACGCCTATAGTTTCGCGATCCGACAAAAAGGGTCTGTCAAAAACTTATTTCTTGTAAATATTTAATAATTACAATATTAAATAAGAAATTAGAAGAAGTTATATAAAATAATAAATACCAAATAATTCTCTCTCTTTAATTTTTCTTTATTTAAAATATATTATTTAAATAAATTCAATGTGTATTTATTTTTCAATAAATTTATCTGGAATAAGACCAACTTCTGCATAATAACTCGTTTGTTTTTGATGACATAAAAAAATTTCAGACGAAAATGGAACGGTTTCGAGGAGGCCGCGTAAATAGAAACACTAACAGGATATGAAGGTCACTTCCGCTCTTTTAAAATGAAATTGATGATTTTTTTACATAATATGATTATTATTTACATCCTTATTGTTTACATATATGTGCTTTTCTACAACTGAATTAGAATAGAATGCGATAAGTTGTTCTCCCGATATGTATTTCGACACTATTTTGATTTGAAAAAAAAGTGCAGCTGAAACTCATCGATTGCGGAAACTTATGGTGGATCTGCTCCATCGGAAACGTATCCAGAGACCGCGGTTTCGATGATTCAAAAGTAATGATTCCACGGTCACAAAGCAATGCTCTGTATTTGGTGGGATATATATGTTGTGTATTATGAACTGTTGAAATAACCGAACGAAAAAATCATCGCCGAGAGCGTTATCAACAATAATTGGAGCGTTTGAATGATAATTTGATACAAAAACGATCATCAATCCCATCAAATCGCGAAACAAAAAACAGACTATTGTTAAAAGATATATATATATATATGGTAAACCTCAGCTCGATCGGTACTTCGACGATGAGAACCGATTGGAGGCGCTCTTTCGTTAAGTACTATAGGGAGAATACATATTAAAACAACTGCAGCACTGCAGCAGTCGTTATTCGTTATTAGCTAACTGAAGTCGTATGAGTAACGGTAACATGATTCGAGGGACGATTATCGTATTTACGCTTTTTTACGCGTCATGTTGTTTCGCGCCCTGTCTTGCCTTCAATTTCGAGGATTGCGGTGAGTGCGTGTTTTATTATCATTAATTAGGAATTGAAAGCATCATTTGCAATAAATCTACCCTGAATGAAAAATAACGTTAATAATAATATAATATAATGATGTTTACTGAAGGGATGTTGCGTTTTCGGGATTTGTCCATCACGCCGATCACGCGTTTATATAACGAATTCAGGAGGACCGGATATGTTAAAAAAATGGTTGATTTTAATCCCAAAGCCTGTTCTACAAAATGTGCTTTTTATGTCCCGCTTCTCTTTGCTTTTTGCTATTTTTTATATCTTATTCTTTTGTCTCTTATATCTGTTTTTCCGTTTTCTGTTGCCCGAAATAGAAAAGTTAACGAACTTTTGAAGAAACAAAAAATATATGATAAGAAGTAGATTAGACTTCGAAGGTAAATAAAAAGAGATGAATGGTATTTTTTGTAAATTTTGATCTAAATAGGAAAAAATTGCTGAAAGGTTCGTGGCGTTTGGAAAATATCTAAAAAATTAGGTACTCCCCTCAAACATATATATTTATTCAAATTGAAAATTTGTTTCTTTATTTCGAGCTGTTCCTCAAATGCTGCATAAACTTTAATAATTTTATAAACAATAATATAAGTTTAATGTGGTTTAGTAATAAACAAATAAGGAATTAAAAAAGAGCATATATACCACGACGCTGAATAGATTTAGCAAAAATATATGTATTTCGTAGAATATTAAAACGAAATTTTTATTATTAGTAAACGAAAGAATTAATTTAATATATTGCGAAGAATATTACGTAATTGTAGCGTTTCGTCCCAGCTTCCATTATTGGACTAATCAGGTCAGATTAAAGGCCGAATCGTTTACTAATAATAAAAATTTCGTTTTTAATATTCTACGAAATACATTATATTTTCGCTAAATCTATCCTGCAGTGTCATAGTATATGCTCTTTTTTAATTCCTTTGTTTAATAATTTTATTGTATCTACAGAAGGTCAAAATCTAAAAAAAAAAAAACATTTTTTTTACTTAACTTGAGAGGTCAAATTCGATCATTTTTTAAATAATTCCTTCTTTCTCTTTTGATAGTAAGATTGAAAGTATATTAAATTAATTATCATTAATTGTAACCGATAAAAGAGCTTTAAATCTTCAAAGAATTATTTATTATTATGTTATATAGATATAAATTATTAAAAAAAAATATATGGATTGTTAAAAATTACAAAAGTTTCAATCCAGGATGCTGAAAAGAAGGCATTCCTTGAAACATTTATCTAATTCTTAAAACTAGAAAAAGATAAAGGTAAGTTGAGCCAAGATTAAAATTTATCATTGATATAAAATGATTATAAAAATGAATATTAGTGATACATGCTTCCTAAAATTTCCTTTTTTCTTTGTTTGCCTTCAAAGCCTAGAAGCATCCGTTATAGATAGTGTGCAGGAAGGTGTAATGTATATGTGTTTAAGAAAGCCAAGTAGATCTAATTTCAATCAGTTCGGGTTTCATCAATATAGATTTGCGCGTGTAACATTTAGAATTTTTTATATGCTTTTCTTTGATATTAAAAGATATTTATCGTGGTAAACGTGTTTACCGTCATCTTTTTACATTCATGGTGTTTGAATAAAATCCACAGTCATAGTGAAGTAATAATCCTTGTTAGTCATTGCTAATTTTATTTTAAATTTAAAAAATACAGTATTATAACGTTGCTTTTCTTTGCAATATTTATATATACTTTGTATTTCTATTTTATATTTTTTATGCTTTACTTTTTTTATTTTAAAAGGAAATATGAATACGCGCGCGGTATGCTGAATGTAAATAGTAACATTACGCGAATGTTATAATTTCTGACTTAACAATGTAACTGTGTAATTATACTGAGTGTTACTATTATATATTGAGTTACATTTATATTGAGTGGAAAATTATAATATTAATGTAATGTCACTGTTAGTGTGGATAGCTAATCTGTTTTGAAAGAAAAATTTGTTGCGTATATTGATAGCAACAAATGCTCTCTTATTATTTTTCATGATTCACTAAACTACGCCTGTTATTTCTGTTATTGTCAGTTTGATTATGTTATCAGTTCGTAATATATGTATCATTTCATACGAAGAATGATGAAACTGATTACGTGTGCAGATGTTCATGACGTATATCATTTACTTCAGACATAAATGATGACTCGCACCTTTTAAACTTAAATCATTTTATACGAGAATTAAGTATCATCGGAGATAGTAACAAAGCATACAGGACAAAGAATGTGTTGTTGGTACCATCTACACAAAGTATTATTACCTAATGATAAGAAATATTTTATATAAGAAAGTCGTCTACTAGAAATTATAATAAAATTTTTGAAATTTTGTTATCCAATATTTTGTTATTAAATATGACTTATTTTATAATTACAAAATTTAATCAGTTTTATTATTTTAATTATTTCTCTTGGAAGTTTTTTATTTATTAATTTAAATAAATAAAATTGAATGTAATTCAATCATTATAAGATTAAAGAGTAATCTACGTTTTAAATTATTTTGTGTGTATGTGTGTGTGTGTGTGCGTGTATTTTCAATATATTTAATAGATTATTTATCTAATTTGTATTTAATACATTTAAGCTTTCATTTAATACTTCATATTTATTTTCATCTTAGGCTCAACATTAGGCAGTTTCTCGGAAGTAATGATCTCCGGATGTAGTACGTCCGATGAAAAATGTATTTTAGTGCGTGGTACTAATGCAACTATGTCTATCGACTTTACACCTAGTGAGTATGAGAATTATATTCAAAATCATACGTCCAATTTATATTTGTATAGATTTAATTTTAATTTAATCATCTTAAATATATTTAAATTATTAGTTAAAAGTACATATTTTAATATATGCATTTTTCTATAATCTCTATTATATATAATTATATAATATTTCATACATAATAATCGTTGTATAATAATAATAATGTATTATTTTGTGCACTTCTTTTATAGACAAAGATATCTCACAACTCACAGCACGTGTTTATGGTGTACTGACTATGGTTCCCATACCTTTTCCATTAAGGCAGCCTGATGTGTGCAAGGATTCTAATGCTGGGATCAAGTGTCCTTTACACAAGGATCAACTATATCATTATTCGACCATGATGTTTTTAGAGAAGTCTTTCCCTTCGGTAAATAGCATTTAAATTTTGCATGTCATATATATAACACACACACATATATATACACACACATATGTTTCGATTTCTATTTTATTGATATTGAAATATAATTTATACCACACGCACGCACGCACACATACATATGGTGGAATTTTTAATTTAATTTATATCTTTTGAATACGATTATAGTTAACAAATTCTAGTTTAATAAATTAAAAACTTATGATTTTCTTTATCTTTAATTTATAAAAAATTTTAATTTGATATTTTTTATATGTAATAAAATCGTTAAACTTATAAGTTTAATTAATAATTTTCAATTTTTATTATGTTGCAGTTGAATGTCAAGATAAAGTGGGAGTTTCTGAATGAGAACAATGAAAAAATAGTGTGCCTGGAATTTCCAGCCAAACTTAAATGATTTAAAAGATATATTAAAATAAATGGAAAATACAGAAAAATATTAAAGATTTTATCTTGATAGAGATATAAATGTGCCATTTTTTATTTAATTAAATATTTTGACATTAATTTAATATATTAATTTAAAATTTAACTTAAAATATTACCAAGTGTCGAAGCATATTAATATAAAACATGAGAAAAATAAATATAAAGAATATTAAATAAATATAAAGAATATTAAGAACGTTTTGTTGGTATATATGCTTGTTAAATTTTTTAAATATCAAATTTTTTAATTATGTAAACAATTTAGAATCTCAATAAATAAATAATATGTTATTCCGTATCTTTTATTTAGCATTTTATTAGATATCTTTTTTTACCAATATACTAATATGATAAGATAGAATTTTCAAAGTTAATGACTAATTAAATCAATTTATTTAATCAAGTTAAATGTTATCTCATTTCTATTAAAATACTAGTAACATTGGTGTTCAGATTTAGCTACAAATTTGTTTTTGTCTGTTGTGCTATATATTCACCTTCTGCAGTTAAAACGACGAGTAAAGAATAAGAAAAGTAAAATAAAATGAAAATTGACAGAAAATGCAGGGAGCTCGGTTAAAAAAGAAAAATATTTTCGTTCATCCGATTTAACAAGACAAACTTTGGTAACTTTGATTTTCTCCCTATTTTCTATAAGTTATAATCAACTATTTATTGTGTTCTCGACCTTATCTGGCGATCGATTGTCTATTTCAATCTGATGAATTGTTCGTTTGTTACGTTGAGCTTCCGAACTTTGTTGTACATTTTTTAGCATTTTCTCTGCCTGATAGATGGGTTCATATTCTCTTAGTTGAACCATAAAACCTTCGTTTGGATTTATGCAGAATCTTCTTTGTTGTACCATCGAATATGCGTGCCTAAAATAAATATTATAAAGATTTTTCAATATTGTAATGTCAGTAAACAGAAACGTGAGAATTATCAAACATATATAATAAAAATGTATAATTCTGTGATTCCAATAAAAATATTATTTATAAAAAAAAGGTTACATTTGTGAAAGTTCGTATGTTTCCATAACGTATGCCAAGACTAATGCAGCGGATCTCGAAATACCAGCATTTCCATGAATCAAAGCTCGACCGCCTGAATTCAAGGCTTCATCAATGAATATTTTCACCTTTTTGAAATGTTGAATTATATTTTCCGTTATTGTGTCAGCAATCTCCAAGACTAGGTATCTATAGAAAACATAAGCACACAAAATCTAATTAAATATAAATTCATAAAGAAAGATCAAGGACACATTGATTCAAGATTAATTAAATCTTAAATTAGTATATCACTATGAAAATATTATTATGAACTTAATCATAAAATTAATAAAATAAAATAATAATAAAATAAAATAAAATAAATAATTAAAAATATTAAGAAAAAATCAGAAATAAGAACTTTTTCAAGTTTTTAGATTAGTTCTCTTTTTTGTTGAGCTACTATATTAATATGCTGTTGCAATTAAAATCATGTACTTGAAGCTGTTGGGAAAGTTTGGCTTTATAAGATTTGCCTCAATAGTGTGCCTGACACAAACTATATGTGTTATTCCATGATCCAGCAAAGATTGCAATTTAGAGCGACTGGCAGCACTGTATGGACCAAGAAACACACCAGGTACCACCTCCTATAATACAAAATATAGAGATATAATTTTATACTAAATTAATAATACATAAGTTTTTGTAAAAATAATAAGCAAGAAAATTATATATACATATATTTATATATCTTATAGACTATATAAAATTATAATTTAAAAAGAAACATTTGTAGAGATTTATACATACAATACTTATCGATAGAATTAATAGATTATTCCATACGAAGTTTAGTCAAACATTTTGCTAACACTTTACATACTGTCTTAATTTGATATAATCACCTGCATGAGTCTTCTCATTGTATAAGTCCATTCTTTAGGTCTTTCTACACAGAAGATATTAGGAATTTCTGGACAGTTATGGTCAGATTCTGATTCATTGTCTCCTTTAGTGTCTTTCTATAGAAGCAATTAATACTGTTTGAATTTTTCATTAACCTTTAGAAGAAATGAAATCATTTATATATCTTATATCTAATTATATGTTAAAAATATATTTAACAGTAAAAATTTCAGGAAAATTGAAGTAAAAATCCTATGACCCTTTAAAAACTTATGTTAGCAAACATTTTAAGAAAGAGGGGTAAATTTTTAATATTGACACATAACTTTTTGTAAAAATAATAAGCAAAAAATTTAATATTGTAAATTATAAGCTATAAAACGTATTAAGATATAAGAAAGCGTTATGCAAGAACAATAGGTCTTATCTTCTAATATTTTTGTTGTTATATATATAAGCTGAACGTACAAATCCGTCCATTCTCGAGAGAAAACAGAAACTGGAATCAAAGATACGAGGTTCATTCAAAATAGAACAAATTTGGTATCAACGCCATTGATATGTAAATCCTAATATTTTGCACGTCCCCACTTGATCATCGCTGTTTACAATCGTTGTACAGTCGACAGTGAGCGTATAATTTGGCTTCACTGTCATCCGCGTAGTCCAACAATGAACGTTGCTCTTTATCGACAGTCCCTTCACGCAAATATACTTGCTGTTAAACGAGCGCTCGAGTTGTTAATCGTCATTATTTACAAGAGCTATCCAATGATACAGGAATACAAGACTTCATAACCTATCATCATGTTTGCAAATGTAACGTGTATGTATTCATGATGTATACAGTATATACACCACAGAGGAGAGAGAGAAAGAAAACAAAAGAACCCTAAAATAGCCAGAGATAGCTTGAGATCTGGAGGGCGGTGTTTTAAGTGGACTTGCTACTGGCGCCTCTATGTGCACAAAACATACCCAGAACTATGTAGAAACATCCGGCGGTAACATATCCACACTTACAACTTTATTACCTACCATGGTACTTATATTAGTTAAGATTCTCTATTGCCGATTAATTAGTATTTATCGATATCACCAGGGGACGCAAGCAGCTCCTTTTTGTCGATATGTACTCGATTACAATTTGTAAAGTGTTATATATTTTAAGTATTTTTCATAGAAGTTATTTAGAATTGGTCGATAAATATTGTAAAACAATAAGTTTTGTATTCAAGAGCTGGATACTAATGGTTCATAGATAGCACATGCGTCTTCCTTTTGTTCTTTTTTTCTCAAAAAAAAAAAAAAAAAGAGAAAAAAAGTTATGTAAAGTTGTAGCTCGGTACATACACATATATGTATGTGCCGCCGCGGATTAGTTTTCGCATGTTATAGCGAAGGAAGGGAAATTATATAATAAACCTCTATTTTATTTAGAAAACTCTAATTATTCGTTTGTTTGTACTACAAATATTTTTAATACCGATTTGTTTGTTTTATTATTTATAATAGTTGTAGAAGGCTTGCAATAGGCACTATTATATTTAATACCAGAACACAAATTGTGTAATAGTAACACATTATATATATCTATTAATATTATAATTTTCTACTTAACATAAATGTGAAATAACACATGTTGTATTAACACTAACAGTTACATTATTGAATAAAATTATATCTAACACTGAAGTAATTAATGTTATCCACACAACACAGTTCTTTAAGGAACGTCCTAAAAACTTAATGGATGTTTCTTGAAAAATTTTGTTATTGTCGGGTAACTTGAGTTCCGCGCGTGTTTATATATTTTGTACATTTATATCAATTATATAATCATTATTGAGATCGAGATATCTCTTAGCAAAAACAGGCATGTCGTTTAACGTATAATATTAAAATATAAAATCTACAAATAGTAAATAATAAGAGAAAGGACATGTAAAATGACGGCAGAAATGTCAGTATGACGATTGCAAAGAGAGATAATTAATATGATAATAAATTTTCTTGTACTACTTGCATGAGCAGTACATTGACTATAATGATTTTTAAGTTATTTCAAACGTACGTATGTTTATATATGGTATATGGTACATTACATGATGCTGTAATATATGACAAATATGTTTATGTAATCAAAGAGCTTTGACACTATTACGATTTTCTCTTCTAATTACTTCAGATTTGATTGATAGTTAAGCACATTTATGTAATTAATCGTCTATTTTCCTCTCCCTCTTTTTTCTCTGAATATGGCGATTATAAAAGTAACGAATAAATGGTTTATTATAAACTTGCTTATTATTTTTTGTTCAGAATTATGAGTGCTGTTTGTTAATTGAGATATTACAAAATAAAGCTAATTATAATATGTATAAAGGATTTTATGATTATATATAATCGTATAATAGTTGCTCTTGATTTGTAAGAAGAAAATATCTTTATTATGGTATAGCTTTAGATAATCTATATACAGTTGGTGTTAGTAGATTTCAATATTCTGTTACCTAGAACTATATTAATTTATAATTTTATACGCTATGTATATTATGAGTGGTATTTTATCATACACACAATTCTGATTTTTTAAATGTTTTTCGTATTTTATTGAAGAGTAAAACCAAAGACAATTAATGTCTAATATGTGTAAAGAATTTTATGATTTAATTATTATAATTATATGTTTTTGTTTTATATAAAAAAGATAAGATAAAAGATAAGATAAAAGATCTACTGATAATAACCCAAATATTGGCAATCTGATTTTTAAACGCTTTCTTTTTTTTTTGAATATGTAAATTATATTATAAGTAATTTTATATTTAATTTTATTTAATCACTGTCAGTAAATGAATCCTTTACCCTCTCTGTACCTCGGATCTATAATAAATGTTCTAAGCTTTAAGCTTTAAGAAATTAATTAATTACAGTCGAATTCGAGGAGAATAATTGATTATGATTCGCCCAAGATCCGGGGTTATTAAAAATTATAGTATTGTAATTATTGGACAATTTACAATTTGCGTCAAACTTCAAGATTGTATATTATTACGAATTCTATCTATAATTGTATATATGTCGTGTATTTTCGTGCGTATGTACATTTTATTACATATTTTATATGCATACAAGCAGTCTAATTCTTCCATTTTTCTTCTCCTGTCGTATTGTTGTACGACATGTATAAAATTATATATAAATAAAAATATTAATTATAAATACTAAACTATAAATCGTCTAGAACGGGTTTAATAACAAAATTATTAGTATCAATAAATATTTAATATAATTTAAAGCTTTTGGGAATCAAATACCGAGAAGTTTAAGGTGAAATTAGTTATCGATCGCTTCTTTCATTCATGTTGTATAACGCGCGATATCTCAAAGTGCATGTCGATCTCGCGGTTTGTCGGGAATAAATCATGCGTACGTTCGGCATTAAAGCGAGAGATCGACGATGTGGGTAAATCCCCTTCGGGTCTTTTTAAACGTTGCTGGTTTTCGTGACGTAGAACCTTGTTGTTGTATAATAGATGTTCTGAAAAACGTGTTGCACTATACGAATCGTTATCCGGCGCTATGGTGACACGGTCGTTTTGCAATTTGGGCCTCGTGCCAATAGAAAGGATTTCTCTATTTTATCTCTGATTTATCTCTGACATATCTTTCCAAGTTTCTAATATTCTAAATGAAATACGAGAAGTCTTCTTCTTTTAGATTATAACTTTGAATAATTAATATATCAAGTCAAGTTGGACTTTGAAGGCACAATCGATATATTTTAATTATGAATTCCGATAAATAAATTGAAATCTATAAAAATATAATTAAAATACAATCTAACTTCTATGAGATAGTAGAAAGCTTGTTTTTAAATCCTTTATAAAGAATTTTTTCAGATTTTAATATAATTTGGAACAAAATAAAAATCTTCACTGAAGCATAACACTCGAAGTCGTTGGAAAGTGCAAAATTTTGCATGGTTAGCGTAGGATTAAATTTAATAATCTTATACAAAGAGGAGAGACCTTTCGTCGCTCGTATTATTGATTAATCGAATTATAATAATGAAATGCATAAAACATATTTCCAATCACAAAATGCTTTACATGTATAAATAAGGAATGTGCAAATGACATTCCTTAGACTTAGAATTTATTAATCCGTTAAATATATCTTAGAAATAGAAACGTATAGTGTCATAGAATGTAATAACAGCCCGCGTTACATATTTCCTATGTCTGTATCGTATCGCGCTGAAACTATTATCGGCAATCGCGGCGTAATAATTATCAATCTGCAAAGCGGTCGACAGGAAGATTAGCGACGCGTAATAACATGTCGGTTCTTATCCTTTCGCGACGTGATTTTCGAATGCAGACAGCAGGAAACACGGTATGCAGAGCGTTCGTGGATATCGGGAGCTGGGTGGGAACGAAGTGGAGGAGAACGACGCAATTTGGTTACGAACTGTTTAATGACTTTTACGACGCGCTTCTGGTTGCGGTAATCGACGGCACGTTTTCTTCCGGGATATGGGTAATACGGTTCTCTTTTTGATCGCCAACGCTACGCTTTCGCGATGAAAGTCGCGTATGTGTACCGTGCGTGCACGCGTCCAGTTTCGAACAGTTTCAGCTTATATATCGCTCGCGAATGTGTTTCGTAGCGATAGAGCTCGCGGAAAATGCGAAACGAATCACTTCCGTGGGGATTACGAGATGTTCTTGTTGCGCTCGACTATGCATTTTCGGGATCGCGCTTTCATGCTTTTGATTTCCGCGTCATTAATGCACAGTACTTTTATTCCCGTATAAATAATCCTGTTTCATAAATATGTATGTAAAAACTGAAAATGCATTAAATCAACTTGTAAATAAGAGAAGCCACCATTTATGGTCAAAATCGGATGTTGGAATAATACATCTACGTTATATATATTTAAATAAAAATCTATCTCAGATATATTATACGCGCCGATTACTTTTCGAACTTACAGCGCAATTAAATTGAAATAATAGTAATCCTCAAATTAAGAGGTAGATTGATAATTAAGAGCAATAATAATAACCCCTAAATTATAAGAGAGACGTTTTTCTTATCTATTTGTTAGTTAATATTTTATATGACGACTTTTAATTTATTATAAAAAAATATATTATATTACCAAAAAATGTAAAAATATGTTACTAAAAATAAAATTTGATTGCAATTGTCCAAACTAGGAGAACACTATCAATACGCAATTTTCTGTCTGCGCATTATTAATTATTATAAAATTATCGAATTCTAAAATGCATCAAAAATTTATACAATTTTTATCCAACTTTATATCCAATTTTGATTGGTTAAAATAGGTCAGATTTGCTTTTTTTCTAGCTGTCGTATTTTATTTTTACGGAGTGCGGATAGATTGCACGGTACGGTAATGTTTTTCCACGCGAGTGAATAGCGCTCGCAATAAATCGCTGTCATTTACACAGCGCGCGATTCGAAGTACTCGCGAGTGAAGGGTATTGGATAGCACCACCCATTTCGTCACATGGAGAACCGTGTTATTTCGCGCGAATAAGAAGCATCATTTCCCATGTTTGTCGCTCTCAAAGTCATTGCTGGGCATTCTGGTGTAATTAGATGGTACTCGGGCGCGCTAAATTCTGTTTTAGACTTTTTACAATT